ATGGGCGGTCCACGCGCGCAGCCTCTCCAGCCTCCCACCGCGGACGCAGTGCGCGCCAGGCAGGCCTCGGAAGGTGTTGTCGTGCACCCTTCTCGTCTTCCACTGCTGAACAGGGACGTGTACGGAATCATTGGTAACGTTCAGAGGGTGTTGTGCATGCCCACGGGGCAGAGCGGCGAGTGGTCAGAGGCAGCGTGGCACCGGCTCTTCGACGCTCTTTCGCGCCCCAAGCGCAGGCGCCAGCCGACGCTTCCAGCGCTGCTCGCGCCGCCGGTGGCGCCGCCGCCGCCACCGCCGCCACCGCCGCCAGCGCTGCCGGCGCCCCCGGCGCCCCCACAAGGCAACGAGGCGCCGCAGGGCAACGGCGAGCAGAACAGCGAGGCGAACAGCAGCGAGGACGAGAGCAGCAGCTCGACCACAGACGCCGACCAGGACAAGGAGACCGACGCGCCCCTTGAGGAGGACGAGGGCAAGGACAGCGAGGCGCAGCCAAACACCGACCAGGAGAAGAGCGAGGAGCCAGGAGGCGACGAGGGCAAGGACAGCGAGGCGCAGCCAAACACCGACCAGGAGAAGAGCGACGACAGCGAAGACGAGGAGAGCGAGCAGCCGCCTGAGCACTACAAGGCCCTGAAAGAGCAGCTGGAGGCTTCTCGGGCGCTCGAGCAAGAGCTCCGCCTGGAAAGCTGGCTTCTACGAAACCAGACCGAGGAGCTCGAGGCCGACAAGCAGAAGCTCCAGGAAGAGAACGACCAGCTTCTGGAGAGCCACAAGGAGCTCCCGGAGGCGAACGACACCTTGGAGAGGGAGGTGAAGCGCCTGAAGCTGGAGGCTCAGGCAGGGGAGGCTTAGAGCTCAGAAAGAAGGAGGGCGCCTAAGTCTGCGATTTGGGCACCAGTGCATTCGGACCGTTGTTCAGTGCATTTTTCCTGCGACTCCGAGCGACAGGGGCGGAGGAGGCAGAGGTGGGCAGCGGGCAGGGCCCAAGGGTGAAGGGGGGTGGGCGGCCGTCCGTCATGACAGCTCAAGGCAGCGCCCATGTTGTCTGGAAGAATGTTTAAAGCCCCTGCAAGACTCGGATCGCTCCCGCGCAGGATATTGCACTCTGCCACTCAGCTGCTGCGTCGGCTATTAAGCTCCGTGGACCGAAATCGCTATCGTCTCTACAGCCCCTGTGGTGTCTCCCGTGCAAAGGTTTTCCATGTCACCCTGCGGCCTTGCATTTTGTTACCTTGCCTGGGTCTTGCATTCCAGCTTGCATCCGTGCAGTTACATTACCGCTTGGGTTTTGCATCTTACCTACCGCCCCAGCGGTGCTTCTCCTTGCGTTGGCCCTTCCGTGCTCCCATGCGTAGCAATGCGCGTGCGAGTAGAGCTTGCCGTAGCAGTGGCTCAAATTCAGGAGTTAGTTCCTCTGTCAGCGCCCGCGCGTTCGCTGTCGCAGTGCCCCCCCCCCCGACGTCGCGACCTCAGGCAATGCCAGACCTCTTCGACGATATGGGAGAGGCCGTTTCTGACTACAACTACGTCGTGAACGACCGCGAGCCCGCAGTCGGGGAAGTTCACGATGGCCAGATCGAGATGGCCGACTTCATGGCCGCGGCGCTCCGCCCCGTAGACGGCGTCCGCACAGTCTGGGCGTTGTTCGATGTTCAGGAGAACGTCCCGAAACAGGAGTGGTCCGACATCGTCAGAGCCATCCAGACGAAGAATTACGCCAGTTTGCCGCAAGCTGAACCTGTCCTCTCTCACTTTGGTTTATTTCCAAACGCGTAGTTCTTAATTCGTACCCAGAGTCGAAGTTTGAAATTCTTAATCATAACTTTCCGTCTTAAATTATGTTAACCTCAATTCTGCACAAGGCAGTCGCTTTCCAGCAGCCCCTGCCGGAGAACTGCAAGGTAAATGCCCTGGCGCAGTGCAAGGCCGACGACACCATGACCATCATCAAGACCATTCTCTTCGAGTCGCCGGCGCCCGTGTCCGAGGTTCGCGCCGCGTGCGCGGGCGCGGCGAAGGCGCGCGTGCGCCGCCCAGGCCCGTGGAAGGTGAAGAAGGTTGTTCACCGCGTGATGTGCAGCATCACAGGCAAGTTCGTGACGTGGACTGCGTTGAAGCCGCGCTCTAAACAAGGCGGCGGCGGAGAGGGCGGCTCGTGGAACGTGCCCTCAGATGAGTTGAGCAGGTATTGCTTACATCAATAAGCACGCCGAGACAGACGACAGCCAGAACGAGATGACGTTCTGCATATATGACAACATCCGCGAAGTGTCTGATACGCCGATCATGGGATGGCCAGAGGGCAAGGTTCGATTCATGGTGAACAACAAGGCGAGAGCAAAGATGGGCGCAGAAACACAGCATTTCCACCCCATGCTCACGAGTGACCTCAAGCCGGTGCTCGCCTACACCATCGTGACCATCATCATGCCGTTGCTTCTGGAGTTCGGCATCGTCCTCCTGGGCTGGCCTGGTCTTGGAAAGACGCCAGCGTTCATCACTCTGGCAATGGCAATTGGGAGGTACAGCGTCCGCAACCGCGGCGCTACAGGAAGGCCAGGTTGGCGCCGCGGTAAGCGTTTCGACGTTTTCCGCCACCGCGAGTTCGGCCAGGAGGAAGCGTGCTTTCTCGACGACGCTGATCTTGGGAGCATAGATATATCAACCATCAAGAACTTCCTCGACGTGGCGGAGGACACCACGGCAGACGCGCGCTACAACGATTGTAAGTTCCGCCAGAATCAAATGAGGGGCATCGCAGACAACGCCGTCAACGAGGAGGACGAGCCTTCACCAGAAGTTGGTCACGAGATACCGTTCAATTCGTCTTACAAGATGATGCGGACTGCATTCGCGGGCGCGTCCAAAGCTCACGTCATGGCTATCTTGAAGAGGTCCATCGTGGGTGTTGGCGGCAAGCATGGCTTTATCTTGAGGCTGCCTAGCAAGGACGAAGATGCGCCCGTGTTCCGCTTCACAGACGATGATATCGCAGACGATTGGCTGCGGGAGGCGAACAAGCCGTTCCTGAACAAATTCAAAAAGGGCGTCCACACTTTGCCACCAGATTTCCAGACCCGCAATGAGCAGGAGCAGAACATGATCGACGCGGCCTTCGCGAAGTACAACTTGCACATGCGGTCGGCTGACTACATCCGCGACGCGAACGAGGAGCTCAAGAAACACTTCCAACCGAGCCCCGCCGCTATGTTCGACAACTTCATTCCTAATACGTTAGCGTCGGAGGATCCGACGCCGCGAGTGTAGGCGCCCCCCGTGGCAGTGGCGGCTAACAGTACAAAGCGGAGCAGGTTCACCTCGGACTTCAGCGTGCCCTCCTGTCGTCGCAAGCTTAACAAGAAGACGCCCTCTTCCCCGCTGGCCCCGTCGCAGCCAGCTAAAGGGAGAAGCGGCGCAAGTGGGAGCGGCGGCCGCGCGTGAGAACTACAGCTTCGGATGCACGTGAGTGCGGGAGGCGCCTGCTTGCAGGGCAAACTGCGCCTCGCAGAGGAACCGGCAAGATATGAACGCCACTAGATTGTTTGAGGAAGAAAAAAAAACAAAAAACATTCGCATCTGAGGCACGGCGCGCGCGCAAGCCTCTGCGCAGCTGTGTTGTCATTGCGGAATCAAAGCTGTTGCTCTCGGCGAGATCGGTTTTTGCCCAGGCGGTTCCATCTTTTTAATCGTTTCGAATGACAGAGAAGCAAGTCTTGATTTAGGACACGTTGAATCATTCTTTGCCGTAGCATTTGGCTTGAAGGGCAGGCCGCAGCCGTTTCGATCGACCTTTCATTTTTCCGATGCGCCACAGCCATTAGACCGCAAGTTTGAGGTCGCCAGTTGCGGCGGTCGCGCCGCGCCCGCCCCGCGCCCATGCCCAAGCTTGCTTCCAAAGCGAAGATACCGCGCAGGCGACCCGCTGCGGCGACAGCCAAGCCAGCCGCACCGCATGGCATCAAAGTAAGTGAGAACAGGGCGCGCAAGGACAAGTACGGGTTGTCTTACAGCGGAACAGAGCCAACAGGCGCCCAACACAACGTGGGCCTCACTAGGTTGGAGCAGCCCGCCTACGAAACCATCTTGTCGCTCAGCCAGAAACAGGCCAAGAAGTATCTCGAGGACGCAGGCGTTCTTCCACAACCTGATGATGAACTTGAGTTTGTCTGCTGGTCCTGCAAGAGCCCGATTGTGAGCTCGGAGGGCGTCTTCCGCTGCCATGGGAAGGGGTGCAAGATCAGGCCTCGCGTCTACAGGCCAGATGTGGCGTTCACCCTGCTCGCGGGCCACGCGAGCTCTGGATGGGACGTCGACAACGTCATGTGCTTGCGCACGGCTTATGCGCTTGGTTGCACGACCCCTAACGGCTCCTGCATTCACTACGTCCGGCGCGAAGGCGAGAGCGTCAGGTCCACAGAGAACAAGGTGGCCCAGTTCTTCAACAAACACAAGATTGCGATGGCATGCTGGGAAGTACGTCGGGCTCAATCCACGACGTTCGAGGATGACGTGGTCGAGCCTGACACGTGCCGCGCTGGCTCGCGGAAGAGAGGATCGTCGGCTTCCACGCGGATACACCAGGGGCGCACTCTCGTTCTGAGGGGCGTTACAAGAAACAATGGACAGCGCGCGCGCTCCAGGACAGAGAGACGAAGAAAGGCAGAGGCGGCGGCGGCCCAGAGACCAGGGCTGAAGTGGAAGGCCCGTTGAAGAAGGCGCTGGGGAAGGGCACCGCGGTCGCGCCAGACGGCGGTAAGGCCTTCCACGGCGCGGCCGAAGCCGCTGGGCGCCAGGTCTTGAAGGGCGTGAACCACCAGAGGAAAATCTTCACGCCTGCGTCCAGGTTGTTCAAGTCCAAATTGGACAGCAAGACCACCCGCATGCTGAGGGCGCGCACGAAGGGCAAGAATCCCTCCGTCAGGGAGACCGCGCTCTACTCTACACTATCAGCGGGTGATAATGCAGCAGAAGGTATCACAGGCCACCTGAAGAACACAATGCGCAGGCTGGGGAATGTCGGCCGCAACACCTCACCAGCAACCTGCAAGAAGAACGTCCAAGCCTTGGCGTCGGCGGCCCTGCTCTGCAACGCAGGCTTGAACTCAGTGTTGACCGCGCTGAGCTTGTACAGGATTGCTTTGTCCCGCGGCGACATCAATCTGTCGCCCAAGGACGCCTTTGATGTCTCGAGCTGCAGCTCGTGGCTGATCGACTCGCCCTAACTCGGCCACTGGCGCATAGAAGGGACAGGCCAAGCGTTGCGTCCGCGCGAGGGGAAATGCCGCAATTCTTGCAGGGAGAAAATAGTTCATTGCATTATCGTCGTCACCCATCATCACTCATCTCTCTACGATCATAACGTTGCATCTCATCCGCTTGCCATGCTTGATGGCCGCGGGTGAACGATAGGGCTTGGCTGTACTACTACTACTGCTACTAATACTAATACTACTACTACTACTACTACTACTACTACTACTACTACTACTACTACTACTACTACTACTTCTACTACTACTACTACTACTACGACGACGACGACGACGACGACGACGACGACGACCACGACGACGACGACGACGACGACGACGACGACGACGACGACGACGACGACGACGACGACGACGACGACGACGACGACGACGACGACGACGACGACGACGACGACGACGACTACTACTACTACTACTACTACGACGACTAACAATGACCTCAATACTTGTAACAGTATTCATAGTAACACACAGGAGCATGATACGAATACTACTCATAAGCATCATCATGCTAAGAGGCGAAGGAGGAGGCGGAGGAGGAGGAGGAGGAGGAGGAGGAGGAGGAGAGGAGGAGGAGGAGGAGGAGGAGCAGGAGGAGGATGAGGTGGAGGAGGAGGAGGCGGAGGAGGGGGAGGAGCATGGAGGATGGCGGGGGGAGAGAGGGGAACATTGATGGGAGCGGCTCGCCTGGGAGCCTGTTTTTCCGCGGTCGTCTCGTCGATACCCGATCCGCAACTGCGGCTGATCCTCAGGAGTCCGCATTTGCGTCGGCAGCACCTTGGCGCAGATGCCGACGCTTCTACAGACGCACCCCGTGGCTTCGGACACGTGCGTACTCTCAGTAATACATTAACCAGTGGACGGCCTCTTCTCACTAAGGTGCGCACTCCACTCTGACCTCCACACCTGCTGCTCCTTAGAGCTGCAACCTCCCGTTTGCGTCAATGTCCTTCTCCGCCTGCTTCGAAACAAGTTATCTCGAAACCTTCTCCTGAGACTTCTTGGCCTCTTCCGTGCTCCACGCCTTCGCGGACGCTCTCTTCTTCGGTGCATCTTCGGGCTCCGCCCACCACATGGGTTCCTCTTCTGTATTGACGACCGCCATGTTCACCATCGCAGAGATCTTGACGGCTACCAGCAGTCTATTTGGGCCAGGCAAACGCACACGCCGCCAACTCTTTGTTTGGTGTAGCCCGATGCTGATGCGCGCAGTTGCGCTTCCGCCAGCCCCGTTTCCGTGCTGTACTTCAAGCTGCGCGACCTTCTCGACGGATCATAGGATTTCCGTAGTGTCTTGCGCAGCCCATTCCTACAATCCCAGCCGCGCGTGGTGGTCCGCCACTTCGGTTGGCGCCTTGTCCGTCGAAGGGTTGAACTCTGGGTGCAGGTCGGAGGTCAGGGGTGGAGCCGATGCTGGATCTCCCTTCGCCCGCACCTGCACAGGTTGGTGTACAGGCACTCTCTCGGGGTGCGTGCTCGCGGAGAGCGCCTTGGATACCTTTGGGACGCACGGCCAGAACTTGAAGGACTCCGCGTCGTGGTCGGCGTTGGCCCGCACGGTGCTCTGGGCTGTGAGAGCGTCTTGCGACACCTGCACGCACCGCCGCATTTGCGGCCACGTGGTGCGACCAGGGCGACGGCAGCACAGCACTTGCATTTGCAGGCTCCCGCCCCGACTCCTTCGCGGGTGCATCCATCCACTCGGTGATGCGCAGTAGGAACGATCCGAGGGAAGTCTGCGTTGCGTCTCCGCTGCTCTGCCCGTTCATTTGTACCGTCAACCCTCATAGTAAGGATGAACAACTTCCCAAGGTTACCCCTGCATCCTTGCCCTTCGGCCCATCCTTGGCCGCGTTCGCTGGCCGCGCCGCCCGCGCCGCCCGCAAAGTGTCGACATGGCCTCCCAAGGCCCTTGCATCCTTGGACTCGCGTCACTGGGCCAAGAGCAACGACCCTCGGCATCAGCTGTGCCCCCCCCTTGGCAACTTGTCGTCCCCCGCAATTGCGGGCACTGCCCGGCCTTGGAGCGTCAACTTCGTGTAGTTCGCGGGCGGCAAAGAGGGGGGTGATGACTAAGGGGGGGGTGGATATCATGGCGGGGGCCATGAGATCTCCCCAGATCTCATGGTGCCTCTTCTTATTTCGTTACGTCCCCAGCCCCCTCCCTGGGCCGCGCACATGCCGCCGGCCATGATTTGCGCCCCCCCCCTCTTGGACGCCCCCCTCTTGGCCGCCCCCGAGTAGTCGAGCCCATCGAGTAGCGTCTCCAGCCGGGACAACTGCAAGGGCAGACGCAACTGCGTCCTCATGGGCTTTCGACTCCAGTCCGCTCGCGGCCTCCAGCGTGCCCTCGGAGGAGCGTCTGGCGAGCTCCAGCGCGAGTTTGCTGCTTTCGGGGGAGGGGGCCTTCCCCAGGTGAGGCACGTGGCCCTCCGTGGTCATGGTGCGCATGTTCGCCTGGAGCTCGAGCGCCGTCTGTTCGCCCATGTCCTTGAGGGTTTGTTCAGCGCGTGGATTTGCAGGCGGAGGGCAGAGCTCAGGTCGTGGAGGACGTTCGTCAACCATTTCTTTTCTCAACGCCAAGCTTGGTTCTGGAGCACCACACTGCGGCGCCGAGCCCCCTCTTCTTCGGAGGCGGCTTCCTGTAGCACCGCGTGATCAGGAAAGCCTTGACCCGCGGTACCTGGTCGCAGAGCCCGCTAGTGGCGCCCCTAGGGCACCCAGCCGAAGGGCCCTCCTTTGTTCCACGCAGACATCGCAGAACTTCATCAGCAGGAGGACGAGCTCGACCTTCGTAGTCCCGAGTCCCAGACGAACCACAGCAGCTCCACTACGGTACATCGACAGAATGTTGCACCACTTGGTGCCGAAGACAGCGGACATCGTTGTCAAAGCGATGTTTCCATCTCATCCCCCCCACCTCCCATCTAATATTGGCTATGGTCTGGGGGTCGCCGAAACAGCTCGGTGGTGCAACATTTTGTCGATCACCAGGGAAATCCCGGGCGGCTCCGCATCGCATGCCCCCAATACTAGATCGGGAGAGGGAGCGGGGTGTTCAAGAACCCATTTGCTCTCCCCCCCAAAGTGGTGCAACATTTTGTCGATGTACGGTAAGTTTGGGCCCTGGACGACCCAATCAAGCTCGTGCACTGCGGTCTTCTCCAGATTGATAACCACCTGGTCCGTAATTGCGGTGCCGATCTCCGCGCATACAGCGCTGCACATGACACGGAACGCGGTGACTGCAGTCGTCCGCAGCGCAAAGTCGAGTCCTTTCTTCAGGGGCTGGCTAACGAGCGAAGCGCCCGCGGGGTCCTGCACCATTTTCCAGCTGAGCACCCCCAGGGGGTTGGAGTGGGGGTACAGTGGAGACCCATGCCAAGAAACACCCTGCTTGCCTCCAGGGTGCCTTGGGTTTCGATGGTTTTGCCACGGAAAGCGTGACGTTTCCACACCACAAATCAATGGACGTCCTGGGATCTCAGGGTTGGGTTTTTTGTGGAAGGTGTCTTGTGGACTGGTCTCCACTGTACGACAAGGTCCCGCGCGTAGCGTCTGTCCCGCAAGGGCGCTGGAAGCACTCTGCGAGGCGTCCCTTCGCGCGGGCTCGGTGGAACTCCGAGTGAGCCTGGGAACTCCTTCGACCTCTCCTGGATCGGGTGCAGCTCGTGGATGCTCCCGGACGCGAACGCCCTCGTGACCAGCCCCCGCGTGCGTAAAGTGGTGGACGACGATCAATGGAGAGGAAGCATGTTGCCAAATACTTTCCAGGTGTCTGAAACTTGTTGTAAACATGTCTTAGGCATGTGAATAATATGTGTTGAACGTTTGTAGAACATGTTTCCGACATTTTAAACACGTTTTTGATTCAACGATAGGGCTGCTAGGGTGTCCATTGTCATGGCATCCACAGGCGTAAAGCCCGCCAGGATGATTTGAACGGCGAACTCCTGGAACCTTCCGTGCTGAGGGTACCGTCCGCCTCGGTTGTTTCCGTGCGGGCCCTGCGACACGCGGGGATGCGCGTTCTCACCAGTGCTGTGTATTTCGCACCGACGGCAGCGGCCTTCGGAAAGACCCCCTGCGCAGGGTTCGCCGTTGCGGCTTGCGTTCTGTTGTATTTGTTGTGTTTTGTTTCCATATTTGCTGACGGGATCGCTCACTGCATCGAACCGCACTTGCGGCCTAGACCTCTTCAACTGCGGACTATGGTGTCAAGTTGACGCTTGCGGTTCCGAATATGATCCCAGCGAGCTGCTGAGTTCGAATGCCTGTGCAATATCAAAATAACCGGAACATGGATTTCGATGTCAATTCAACTTAACACTTCGATGTATGTTTCTCGATCATCATATCGACTCGCATTTCTATATGCATGTCGGTTGTACTTCGGATTGCATTTGGAGTGTCAGTCCACATTGCAGTTCTATTGCATTGGGTCGGCACTTCGATTCTGCATTGCCGAATGGCATGCCGATTTGCATGTTCGTCGTACTCCTAATCCTCATCGTGACCCACCCTAGTCCTCCTCTTGTTCTGCTCCCCCCTCCTCAATCATCGGAGTCCTCCCCGCCCTCCCCCTACATCGGCTCCCCTTCCTCCATCATCATCGTCCGTGTCGTCTTCCTCTACGCCTGAAGCCTCTCCTGATACAAATAGGCGCGCGCGGCGCGATGGGCGCAACTGCGACTACTCGCGCGGAGCCCTCCGCTGCGGCAAGCAGAGGGAGCGGAGAGTTAACGAAGAGCCCACCAGCAACCACGGCTTCGCTGGTGCTTTTGGCGCCGGCCTCGCTTTCCAAGTTTGATTGCTCGCCCCATTGGGGCGCCCGTGTCCGATGAAAATGATGTTCTGGTGGATGCCCTCGGTAGCAAATCCTAGGAGCCTTGTATATCCTCCTTACGCCGTCTCTCGAGTGCACTCGCGTCGATTAGCGTCTGGTCATC